CCCCACGAGATAAAGGAGGGACATGGTCTATAGCCATAAATTTAAGTGTGGGAAGTCTATGTGAGGCTGATAAAAAATGTTTAGCAACTGGTTTATCAGTCTTTTGATCCCTAAAAGCTGTCATTATACCAGACCTGTGTCCGCGGATGCGATCTCGGAGGGTAAGGTCCGTCTTCCCTACATAAGATAATCCACAAGGACATGTTATAAGATAAATTACATGATCCGTTGTACAAGTAATGTAATGTGAAATAGCTATTCTTTTTCCACTGTGAGGATGAGCAAAGGAGTTGCCGGAAATCATATGGCTACAGGTAACACAACCACTACATTTGTAGCATCCGTGTTTCTTCTGTATTGCAGTTTTCTTATAGTTCTGTGTAGGGTCACTCCGAATTAGAATGTCCCTTAAATTCCTATTTCTTTTGTAACTGATGGTTGGTTTCTCACGAAATATAGAAGACAACTGTTTGTCAGCGCCAAGCATGTCCCAGTGTCTATCAATAGATTTACGAATTTGTGTAGAACCTGTGTGGAATATAAGTGGTAAGTATATCTTCGGGGTATCCACTTTTGGTTCAACTCGTATTCCATTCTTTTGGTAAGTGTTTATTAACATTTATCTATATATATTCACTTGATATATGATATAATTGATCTTGAAAAAGGCCCTATAGGGGTCGAAACGTAGATCACCCCAAAAGAATTTTTGCACATGTAATTTGCAATTGAAATAAATTAAGCACTTGTTAAGACCTGAGAGTGCACCTTATTTGTATTTTTTTTATATATATATATATATATATATATATATATATACACACACACACACACAAACATACATTGGCGTCCGCAGGAATTTTTCCAGGGTGGGGCATAATTGTAATGACATCCATGCTTGGCCCCTTTTTGACAGTGTCAGGAAGGGGAGGAGCATAGTCATTATCACATAAAGCCAGGGTGAATAGAGTTTTCACAACTATGGTGTCAGGAATACTTATTTGTTTTCCTGACACTGTAGTGTTCCTTTAATCAAATTAAAAGAACATTCTGGTCATCATAACAACTTAATCTAAATGAAAATGCTATGATGCAAGGAGGCCCCTTGGCACTCTCTTTCCTTTAAGGAGTGAAACCGCTCTCAAATTGTTTAACCCCAAAGGCTTCCTCCAGCTCCGGATCTACAGGTCGATCAGTGATATTCGGCTTCTGAAACAGAGTGTCAGGAAGTGCAGATTAACGTCAGGCATGGGTGCCACTGATTGGCTAGAGCTGACGCTCTAAGTCAATTGCTAGTTCCCGATTCATAATTCTTTTTAAATTTTTATGAATGGGGAGCTACTGATTGGCTTAGAGTGCCAGCTGAACGGTGTAGCCAATCAGCGGCACCCCTACCCAGCACTCAGTAAATAAAAGTGAACACATTAACACTGATATGTTTTTTACCTGGGGAGATGAGAAGGTTTAAAGTTTCCTGCCAGGCCCAGATACCAAAGCCTTATGATGTGGTGTCCAGAATGAAGTGGAGGGATCACTTCACTTGTCCTTCTGTCACGACACTCCTTATTTGATTTGTACTTGTGCAGTACCCACACGCACCACTATCACTGTTTGGCACTGTTCCTAATTTCTTTTCATTAGCACTTCACCTGGTCCTTGTTTAGCACCTATATAGTCTGGTTTCTCCCCTCACTCCTTGTCAGATCTTTGTCTCTTGTCTCCTGTTTCTTGTTCCTTGGTTTTTGTTTCCTGGTTCCTGAGATTCTGACTCTTTGCTCCTTGATCCTGTATCCTGTCTTGCCTGGTCCTGCGTTCCTGTGCTTCCCGATCCTGTGTTCTAGTTCAGTGTTCCTGTCATCTGCCTAATTACCAGTGATCCTTACCCTGCAGCCTTGTTCGTTTGTCCTGCTTCGGGCTTTGCTTCCTGGCTTTGTGGCTTAGGATCTGTGTCCCACCTATTTCTAGTGGTGGCTGCACAATCCTGCCCAAGTACTTTACTTACCAAAGGACTGTTTAAGTATACTCTGCCTGCACTAATTGTGGTTATCTTGATTTTATGTATATATTATTCTGTGGCATTGTATATATTTTCTGCTAATTTCTGTTCCTTCTACTTTACCTTCCTGTAGGCTGTCTCCCCCCATCACTCCCTTTACCTACGGTTGTAGGCTGCCCCAATCCCTCACATACCTGATCTTGTAGGCTGCTTTACATGTCTCCTGTATCTGATCTGTAGGCTGCCCCATGCCTCACTTACCTGATCTGTAGGCTGCCCCCCATGTCTCACTTATCTGATCTGTAGTCTGCCCTCCCCTCCCATGTCTCACTTATCTGATCTGTAGTCTGCCCTCCCCTCCCATGTCTCACTTATCTGATCTGTAGGCTGCCCTCCCCACCATGTCTCACTTATCTGATCTGTAGTCTGCCCCACCCCCATGCCTCACTTACCTGATCTATAAGCTGCCCCCATCATGTCTCATTTATCTGATCTTGTAGTCCCCCCATGCCTCACTTACCTGTTCTGTAGGCTGTCTCTGCAGTTGCTGGCTGCTGCTCCCCTGCGGATGCAGTCAGGAGAAAGAAGCAGGGATAAACTGTAGCTTCCTTTCCCTGCCATTCTCCATTCACAGTATTGCAGTGTATTCTCACACTGAAAGAAAAATAGCAGCGCAACACGCCAGACCCGAATATCCAGGTGTCCGCTCCACTCTAATGAGAAGCTTATCTTAGGAAACAAATCAACTTATCACAGTAGACAATATATTTGCACACAATAAGGACAAAAACAAAGAATGCTTTATATGTATAGCTAAATCTCATCTTGCAAGAAACAACTTGACAAAAGGCTATACTACACAAGGAAAAAGTCTCTACGTGGCAGAAGAGAACACAGTAAAACACATTTATTGTTCAAGAAAAGACAGATACAGTTATAAGAAATCATTGGATTGATTCAGGCGCAACATCGACGATGTGCAAAAATTCTAATTTCTACAAAAATACCTTTATAGCAATAATGATCATTGCTAATAGACTATCTACACAAAAAAATATTTTTTATGATCCTGAGGAAGGTCCCGAATGGGGACTGAAACGTTGATCCACAAAGCATTTTAACATTTTCAAATAAAGTATGAAGTTTTAACAGGAAGACCGTGAGTTCAAGCCAAACTGTTACTATGTACTTTGGATATTGAGCCCTGGCTTATAGCATCCGTCATTGTAATTTTAAAGCCAGAGTGAAAGGAACTCCAAGAAGCATTATACAAGAACAAGAATAAATTTTCTTGCAATCTGTTGCAAAAAGCAGAGACATTAAACAACAAAGTGCAAACTGTAAGTTAAAAGTTAAAAGGTTAATCCAGATGTGGACATCGTGCTCACTGTGCCTAGAGGGGTTTTCAACTACACCTCACTGATGAGGCCCAAAGAAGGCCAAAATGATCACCCGGAATTACTGTATCTCTTGTGCAGAGTGAACTTGCCAGTTCTGGACTACCCTTATAAATGGGATCAGCCTGATGTGCAATGGAATATTATTATTATGATGATGATATTTATAGAGCGCCGTCAAATTCCGCAGCGCTTTACAATGGGTGGGCGAACAGACATGTATTTGTAACCAGACAAGTTGAACACAGGAACAAAGGGGTTGAGGGCCCTGCTCAATGAGCTTACATGCTAGAGGGAGTGGAATAAAATGACACAAAAAGGTAAGGATAGTATTAGACTAATGACAGTTGCAGAAGAGGAATCAGTCAGGAGCTATTAACAGTTTAATTGATACGCTTTTATGAAGAAGTGGGTTTTTTAACAATTTTTTGAAAGAGTGGAGACTGGGTGAGCATCTAACGGAGGAGGGAAGCGAGTTCCACAGGAATGGTGCAGCCCTCGAGAAATCTTGAAGGCGAGCACCAGAGGTGGGAGTACGGACAGAAGATAGACGTAAGTCTTCAGCAGATCGTAAGGGCCTAGATGGGACATACTTGTGTATAAGGGAGGATAGATAGGTGGGAGCAGCATTATGTAGAGATTTGAAAGCAAGAACCAGATTTTTAAATTGAGCTCTATATTTTATAGGAAGCCAATGTAGGGACTG